CTGCACTCCCAGTTCTGATTACTAGACTCTCTTTCCAGTCAGATCAGCCTAAACTCTGCTTTGCAGACTCTTCCCTCATGAGAAATATTGCTTGATTTAGAAGAGAGTTTCTGTGCTCTGGTCCATGGCCCTCAGCAGAGCAGGGCATTTATTCTTTTGCCTTTTATACTTGGTGATTAGCAACTGTGTTCCTGTTAAACAGCCCATAGTTGGATTCTGCACATCAGACAGAATATTGACTCCTTCTGTTTGTTGTGGATCTATATTTTTCATGGCATCATTTTTATCTTAACAAATACACATTAAGATAACTTAAAATGAACTGCATTTGGCACTTCTTAAACACTGTAATTATCTTTTTAAGATAGCTGGTTAGAAGCTAGTGCTCTTATCCACAGTACCTTATCTTAGATATAAACCACTTGTTTATTTTTAATCTTACTGACTCAGAACCTTCTATAGTATATCTGCATTTTCCCCCAATATCACATCTCCTTACTCTTGTTTCATTTCTTTCTACTTAAATGTCACTTCTCTGTACCAAATCTCTTTAAAAAAAAAAAGGCATAGAGGTACAATTGCAGGCACCTTTTTCGAGAGATTTTTGAGTATGACATGAATCTAATTGCAAAGTTCTTCAGGGGTTGCATTCAAACTTTAATGTCAATAAAAATCTCCCAAGATGTTTGTTAAAATGCGTACTGAGGGCTTGTTCCCCAGGGATTCCTATTCAGTAGATCTAGGGCATGTCCAGGAATCTGCCTGTCAGCAACCCCAGGTGACTATGATGGAGAACACTTTCTCTGTAGGGTGACATTCACTGGCTCCTGGGATGGGATGCAGTGGTGGGTGGCCAGGTCTTGGGTACTGTGTGATTTCCATATGGCTCAATTTGCTCTATCTGTCCTCGGGCATGGTTCTCTTAGGCTGCTTATTTTTGTAGCCCTCATAGAGGAGGCATCACTTTTGGAAGTATCCCTCTTTTTCCTAGGTGACTTCTGTGTAGGCTGTTATTTGAGAACCACTTCTTGAAAGGGTCACCACAATTAGATTTAAACCTTTGTAAAATCTCTGGCCCAAGTGCTTATAAGGAAGGGATATATGGACTCTAGCATTTGGATTTAGAAAAACAACAGCCTAAGCAGAGCAGATGAAACAGAATAAACAGATGAGATGTTGGGAGGAAAGCAGGTACACATAATATCCAATAAATAAAGTAACCCAGATTCATTAGATGCTCCTAAGGGCTTCATGCATTGAATGCTTACTTCATTCTCTGAAAATTAATACCCAGTTTCCTTCCAGGGGCAGCTGCTCAGAAGCATTCTCATTAGACTTCTCTACTGGAATGATGCTCCTTACCCCTAATGAAGCTCAAATGAACATTCTAGAAGGTAGTTATTCAGTCATAGTTTCAGGCCATTTATATCCAAGTCCCCTAAAAATATGGGTAAAAAAATGCTGGGTTCCACTTCAAATACAGTGAAATACAGGGAGTAAAATTTGGGAATTGAACCTGAATTTTTACAAAGCTCTTAACAGACTCTTATGCATAATGAAGACTAAGGATTACAGCTTAAAGATGCTGCTATCATAACGTAGAACACTGTACTTCTCCAAACAAAACAAAACAACTCCTGAGGAGTGGTGAGAAAGAAGTACCCAAGATCTTAGAAATTTTGGGAAGCCAAGGCATAGAAGGTCATAGGCTTTCTGCCTAGCTCAATCCCTGCCTGGCTGCATGAGTTGGGGAAAGGGTCTGAACCCACTTAATGGTTGTAGGTTTGACACAGTCAGTAATTCTTAACATTGGGAGCCAGTTCTGTCTTCAAAACACTGTTCAAGGTTTTTTCTATATAGAAAGAGGACAGCTCTGTGTTGTGAACTAACTGATCTTAGCTAATTTGACCATTCAGCAGTATTCAAGTCCATTTGTTAAAATGTACAAAATTCCTTTTCTGTCCATTCCCCCCACAATAGTTCTACTAGGTAGTATTTTATACCAAAAACACCTTAGACTGAATTTAGCCAAACCTTCCCATTTTTATTAGCAATAAGACACCAAATTGCCCATACTATCTATTGTAAGCACAGAGAGGTCCTTATTTTTCTGACTTCTGGTGTTTCTACAGGCATCTTAAATGAGAGGTTCTCTGTGATGCTGATAGAATATTATGGTGACTAGATGCTACCTTTCTATTTGGGGCAAATGTCAGTCCCCTTGTGAAGTGGAAGGACATAAGACCAAATACAGCTCTAGATTGTACCAAAGGTTAGGATATTGGCATTGCTGATTTTATTCTCCTAGTCCAAAAAAAGGTTGGTAAGTCTCTAACAATCTTTCTAGCCTATCATATATTCTGAATTCCACTCATTTTCGTTTATTTTTTCAGAGAAAAATTACTTCTAACAAGCCTTATGCTAATAAACAAACCACCTGGTGTTGACTTGATAGCCATATTTGAAGTTCTTACTAAAATCCTCTGGAGGTTAATATTCCTGATACATATATTTCAAATATTAAATAACAAATTTATATATAAATATATATGTATACTATATAAACATATATGAATTTACATATAAATTATAAATAATAAATGTATGCCTCTAGATATCATAAAGTCTATTTTAAATTGCCACATAGTCAGTATTAGCACATGGCCAATGTTTTCTTTTTATCTAATGAGCATTGGTCTTAAAGTTTAGAAGCACCTTAGCAATCCATGTTAAGTCCCAAATTAAAAGTGGAGTAGTACTGGAGTTTCCAACCAAATTTTGGGTCTTATGTGTTTTATACATATTTAAAATCTGAAGGAGTAATATTGAGGAAACCACAGTTTATCTGTTTCTATATCTGTAATATAAATATTAAACATCTTCAGCCTTCAGCCTCTTCCCGCAAGGGGGCAGCATTACCCCTAATTGAGATCTACTGTTATTAAAAACTATAATCTTAAGGTTGCTCCTGGTTGGCTGGTTTTGCTCAAAAGGATTCCGATACCCATTACCTTAAGTGGAGCACCTAACTGGGTAGGTCCAAAGTTGGCTTGAAGCTATTTAGCAGTAGGGCTGGGAGAACATTTCTATCCCATGAGTGGGAAGACCTGGGAATGGGGAGTAGGTTGGGCTGAGGAGGTATAAATTAGGGGAGCTGAGGACAGGAGCTGTCAGCCACCAAGATGATAAGACAGCAGGTTACCTGGGGTGAGAAATCTCTGGCATCACGATGACAGAAGGGACTTGAAAAATAGGGAAGCCTAATATGGGATTTTATGTTGTGTAATGTTGAACGAATTCCTTTCTTGCTGAAAATTTCCTGATGTGTTTTGAAGCTTTGGGGTTGGGGAAATAAAAATTCAGTAGGGTCATGAAACTAACATCAGAGGCAGGGACTTTGGGAATGTGAATCTCCTGGACACTTGTACAAATAATAGTAAAGACAGTGGACCTTCCATATTATGGGGACTGGTGATTTCAGGAAATCTTGTTTGTATTTTAAAACAGAAAGACTCCATTCTCAGGCAAAGACTAGTGATTTATTTCAACAAATATTTCTGGAGGACCTATTGTTTACTTAGCCAAGTGCTAGTAAATTATTCAAATGAAAGAAACCAATCCTTGCTCTCCATGGACTTATTTTCTCTGTAGGGAAACAAAATATTTCTATTTAAATATGATCATCGTCCTCAAAGCAGCTGCTCTGTCTGTTTCAGAGCATCTGGGAAGGGATGGACTTTGAGACCTGATTGTCAGCTTTGGCTGCAGGTTGGAATCCCTCATGGAGTCATTTAGGGCTTTTAAGTCACAAAGACACATATATTCCTAACCCAATATTATTGGTGTCTTCCATATTTCCATTTTCTCATGTTCCAGATGGAAATCAAAGAAACCTAAATTACCCCTTATCATTCCTGTTCTTCAGGGATGCACAGTTCCTATAACATACATTTTGTCTTTAGCTTCCATGTTAGTGTAAAAAGGCAATGTGAATTCACTCTAGAAACTCCAATAACGCAAGAAGTTATCTATGACTTAAGATCTCCGGGACTCAGGTGGTCCACATACTTTCTCCAGCTAACATATCTGATGCAAAAGCATTCCAGCCCAAGAGAAAAATGTCAGTTTCTTGGAATGCATTGTGTGGGATTTGACATAATATGGTTCTGCTCTAACAATGAAGGTAGTCTCTTTAGAAAATAACCAGAGAGTGCCTCATACCGAATTCACCGAGTATCATAATTCCTCCAAGTGATAAAGATACCTCAGGACAAATGCTGGGCATAGAAGCCACAGGGCATAAATCTGCAAAGAAGTAAAAAGCTAACCTTTTCAAACAATATGGCTTCTCTCTCACTTACCAACTTTACATTTCCCTGTATGGCCCCGGAAGATGACTGGCTAGCCAGAGACGGGTAAGATTCCTCAAGGGAGGAACAACCTAAGACAGGCACAGTTGCAGGGGGGCCATTAGGTGAGAAATTGGGGATCAACAGAGGTGAGGCTTAGAACCTCACCCCCCCTGTTTTGGGAGAAATCTTCTGCATCCGTGGAT